GTTACATAAGTGGAGTAGACTGAGTAGGAGTAGTCGCATGGAAGAAGGGGATCGTGGATGTCAGTAGTCGCAGTAAAAAGGCCCATAGGTTGCAGCATGGAACCCCCTTTTGTGGCCCTCTTGCAATGCATCGTATTGCATGATATAGAAATTGAAACAATGAGGCCGCTTGTCCGGGTATACTTTGCCGCTCAGACGCGCATGTCATGACAAGGGTGTTTTTGAATTATCCAGACGTTTGCAAGGTGGGTAGAGTGTTGGTCCCGAGTGTTCCAAGATTCGAATTTCTACTTTCTAGCCAACATAGCTTGCCATGCTATGCTGCTGAGAGTCCTCCGGCACTGTGAGGGCATGACCGACCTACTTTAGACTGTTGAAGCAGCGGCTACTGACAGAATTGGCGGCAAGCAATGCAAGTCTTAGATCTGATGCGCCCCGGCTGCTTTCCAGTAAAAGTTACGACGCCAGCTCCACATAGCCTGTGAATTCTAGAGATGCTTGTCACCCAGTTTCGCTTCTTCATGCATGCAGAAGAGTAGAGTTTAGAGTTCCACAGGATTAGGCGCAGACTTATGGAAACTTGCGGGGAACTCCGCAGCATAATGCAACGTTGTTAAGACTTCGTCGGCAGGTGGCCAAGCCAGTAGGCAAACATAATTGAGGCAGCTGGAGCCAGGTTTTGGCATGTTTGCTTGTAGAGCTGTAGTGAAGCATTGCGCATGTTCGTGGTCTTGTGTAGTTGTTTTCTTACGTGTACTATTCATTCGCTAGCATGCCAGGCGCCGCGTGCTCTGAGGACGTAGAACGTGCGAGGGGCGTGAGGATTTGTCAGAGCTGGCTATGCCGCTGCAAGTTCAGGCTCGAGTAAGCTCACTTGGCCAGAGTTCTATCCTGTTCGTTTCAGGCACGCCCCCGGTCCAAATTTGCCACGTGAGCCGCCTTAAAGCTAATTTCAAGACTGACTTGATTCCCTCGTATCTCATTGCAGTAGCCCCAGCCTCTTTGCAATGTGAAGGAACTTATGAGGACTAACCCCGAGCAGGAAAATGACAAGTTGAATCGGATTCAAACGGCATGCGTCAAGTCAAAATACATTCTCATGGTGCAGCCTGGCCCGAATGGTACCCTTACCTGACCCCAAGAAACACATGCCTCCTTTGCTTTTTGAGAACCTAATGCCAAAGCCAGACTTCCAAGTAGCCAATATTACGACCCTACAGCCCTTTTGAAACTGTTGCAAAGTGTACCCCAGGACCATACTCTGAATATGTCGGACACTACAAAAGAATATGTCGTCTCCAGGGACTTCGCTTTGGGTTTTAGGGTACTTACTATTTCCATTTTCTTGTCCAAGACTCAAAAAATCTTAATCCCTCTGTTACTCCCCTATAGAATCCCTCTGTAACCCCTTGTCTCCTTAGTTAGCAGCTCCCCATTTTCTTGTCCGCTACTCCATAACACAGTAGCTAAACATATGCCTATACATATGCATGTATGTCTCTCCCTACATAGTGTCCCTATCCGCATGCAATTCCTATATGAGCTATAGGCTGAACTCCCTACGAGAGCATTATAGGGGTACCTACTCGCCATACTCGGGGTTCAGACTATATCTCACGTGACCCGTTGACAACCCCATTTCATCTCAGTAGCCACATAACCTCTCTCCAGATATAATCTGCCTATGACCTTTTGACAGCCCCCATGTCATCCCTAAATCGTAGACCCTAGACCTTCAACTCTAAACCCTAAATCCATAAACCCTAAATCATAATCCCTAAACCTGTAAACCCTACACCTTAATCCCTAGACCCTAAATCCGTAAACCCTACACCCTAAGCCCTAAATTCCTAAACCCTAAGCCCTAAATCCCTCTCGCCCCTTGGAAAAAAGGTCCGATGAAAAACATCTAATCCCTAAATCCCGAATCCCTAAACCCACTGAACCCTATATAAACCCTAAATCCTTAAATCCCTACATCCTAAACCTATAATAGCAGGTCCTGATCCCTAAACCCTTAAATGCTAATCCCTAAATCCCTAAACCCTAAATCCTCTAAATCCCTAAAACCTAAATCCTAAATCCCTAAACCCTAAACCCTAACCCTAAACCTTAAACTCTACAATAACAGGTCCTTCATGTCCAGCAATATATTATAGTCCTTACTATTGGGACCCCCCCAAAAGGTACCCCTAATTTTGGGAACCCTAAACCCTAAATTTCTAGTTCCTAAACCCTAAAACCTATAATAGCAGGTCCTTCATATCCAGCAAGATGGCCCTCCGCCTTCTTTCCGCCTTGGCCGCGCTTTTCATCGCCGAGGCCTCGCTGCGAGGACTCGGAGGGCACGTCTTAAAAGGTATTATATGGGTTTATATGAGTTTATATGGGATTATATGGGTTTATAGGGTTTAGGGTTTCTAAGGTTTCTAGGGTTTCTAGGGTTTGGGGTTTCTAGGGTTTCTGGGTTTAGAGGGTTTATAGGGTTTATGCAAGGGGGGATTATAGAGGTTTAGGGTTTAGAGGGTTATAAACCTTTAAAATCCTGAAGCAAAAAAAGGGTTTATGGGGATTATAGGGTTTGTAGGGTTTGTAGGGTTTATAGGTTTATGGGGATTATATGGGCTTATGGTTTAGAGGGCTTACAGGGGTTTATCGGATTTAGGGTTTATAGGGTTTATAGGGTTTACAGGGATTTAGGGTTTATAGGGTTTATAGGGTTATAGGCTATAGGGGTTGTATGGGCTTAGGGTTTAGAGGGCTTATAGGAGTGTATAGGGTTTAGGGTTTATAGGGTTTGAATTGGGTTAAAGGTCTAGGGTTTAAAGGGTTCAGGGATTATACGCGGATTAAATGGGTTTTTCAGGGTTTAGAGGGTTATAAACACCATAAATCCAGAAGCGAAAAGAGGGGTTTATAGGGTTTAGACATGTTTAGGGTTTAGAAGGTTTATATGGATTATATAGGGGGTATATTGAGCGGCATCTCAAGATTCCCAAGATTTTTCTACAATGATATTTGCACGCCTTTTCCCCGCGCAAGGAAACCTCCACGCAAGCGCGGGGTCCATGAGCACAGATCAGCTCCGCGAGACTGTGCTGCAGGAGGTGGCGAATCATGTGATTTTCTTTGAGGGGTTTGTGAACACCTTTAACACAAAGAGCCGGAAGAAAGTACCTAGAAATTCCAAGTCCTAGGAAGGCTAAAGCCGACACGAGTCTTCAGTATGGTGATGAAACTGCTTAGGACTGACACTTAGTGATTTCCTTTCACAGGGGTACAAACAACAGGTCCTGCGCAAGACCATTCTTGAGGAAAGTTTGGATGTATGCCAAACTCAGGGTTGAACTGTTTTTAGGCCCGGAAATCTAGCGTCCGAAGCAGAGATGCGCCAAGGGGGTGTAAGGAATTATCCTAGGATGCGGCGGCCGTGAAAACAATCTGGACTTATCCTGCCAACCTAGGCCCTAGGGTGCAACTCAAGGGAAAGGGCTGGGAATCCTACCCAAGACATATTTCAATGGGTAGCCCGGGTCATCCTCCAGCGTTATGTGCCCTATATTTTCATGTAATCTCTACGAGTATAGTCCCCCTTAAGTAGATAGAATACGGGGTATATGGGGATCTTATTATAATATACCCAACGCCATATTCTTTCTACTTAAGGGGCACTATACATCCATCAAAGCACCTGTGGCAGGTGATGTCCGCTCTTGGGAGTGGCAATCGTGTTACAGAAAAGCGCCTCAAGAATCTCGAGGTGGGCCTGCGGGTTCGCAAGGGTCACTGAGAGGCGCTTAGAGTGACATAAGCTTAGTAGAAGGATGTGCTTATATATACACATGTATATATTCATGCTGATGTCGGGGCCTGCATGGATTTGATAGGAATGTCTTTGGCTAGGTTTCAAGTTAAAACTGGGGTTGTTCGCAGTAGGCTTGCCTCTTGAACGCTAAGGCTATTCTGCAGCAAATGCTGCTTCAACTTAAGTAGCTGAACGGCTACCCAGAAGAAACCTCCTTCCCCCTCTCCTTTACTCCTCCAAAACCAAAATGTCTGCAAGTTCTTGGAAAGCCAGTGAACACCTGATAAAGCCTTGAGGATGTTTTTAACTTCCCATAGGAGGTCCACAGAAGACGCTACAGTGACTCTACAACCTGTTCAAGCCCATGCCAACGCGGTGGGAGCGCAAGGAAAACCAAGCAAGCACCTTACATCTTGGATGTGGTAGGGTGTCGGGCTGCATCAATCGCATCGAGGGAGACACCACATGTTGGTTCGGACGTATACGTGTAGTAGTAGCAGTAACAATAATAGTAGTAATATTTGAAGAATAATAGGAATAGCAATAGTAACAGTAATTTTAATACTCATACACAATATCTCAACCCACCATTTGGGTAGCTGCAGAGATTTATGCAGGCTTTTGTTCTCCCCCGCAGGCGGCATTAAAGCCGACATTTCAAGCGATGCCCAAAAACGAGCACGGCAACTTGGATGACGCTGCTGCCAGGCAGGATGGAGGGTTTATACGTTTCGGGTTTAGGGCTTTGCTTTACATCATAGTTGTAATAATAATGCTGGCAATGAGAAATAGTAATGGCAATACGAAACAATCATATGAATAGTACTAGTAGCAAGAATAATACCTCATCCTACTAGTGTGTGTGTGTGTGTGTTCAGGTTGTCGTCCTGGAGCTCTAGACTTTAAGTGCAAAGTTGAAAATTTGGACCCGGAGCGCAGTCTGCGACTTGAAGCTCCGATTCCGCACCCTGACGAACCTTAACCCATTCAATGATGTAAATCAGGTGGACCCCCCACCCTGTAATAGTGACTATAAAGGAGAATGAGGACTATGTTGGGGTCCTTCTTATATTCCTGTTATACCATTATTGCCGGGTGGAGGGTCCTCCTAAGATGTAAACCTTGACTGCGGGAATGGGGTCTTTGGTTCGGTTGCAGGTACGTATTGCATCGACTCTTCGTCCAGCGCCACGCAATGTACATCAAGGGCTTGGAGGCCAACGGCATGGACTGGAAGAATATGACCACCACGGAAGTGCTCGAGGCCCCGTCCTCATATTTCGGGTTTCAGTTTCCCAGAATTAGAGGTACCCTAGAGTATCTGCGTCTCGGTGCCTTACTTTGAGAGAATGTGCGGGCAAACATGCCTCAGAGTTTTATGTGGGAGCCTAAATACGTGTTTTTGGGAGTGTTCCACTATAGTCTATAGTTGCAAAAGCTGGACCAGGAATAGTGTTGGTATTTAATCAGTCCTTCAACAGGCGACCTGTCCATGTGCGCATAGGGCTCGAGATCGACAAGTGAGTACAAGGCTCACAAAGACGGTTCCAATGAGGAAGGAGTGTGTTTCTTGTTCCTCAATGATGATCCGCCTAGAAGTTATCTTTCCAAACACGTCCACCCAATCTCGCAAAACCTAGTCAGCCACGTCCAGCAATCTCCTGCGGTTACCGAGCTTTCGGGAAACCACCTCAGACGCCAGCATCGACATCCAAAAATAGAGCAGCGTAGAATCCCTGAATGACAGGGAACCTGAATCCCTACTAATGGGGCTCTACAACTGCGGGGGTGGGAGGTGCTTGTGGTGGGGGGGATGGTATTCGATTCCCTTATTGTACTTTATGTCGCTAGTAGTATTAATAGTAATAACAGGAATAATTGTACCTGGGTCATCAAGGGTATTCGTACTTTGAGAAATCCCTAAACCCTAAACCTGCATTGGAGCGGGAAGGATCATGTGCCTTCCTTTGTCCTGTCGCTCTTCGAAGACCGCTTGAAGGAGCCCGGTGCTGGTACTGAGCTTCAGGAAAAGCGTATATGCGCATGAATATCCGTGTATGTGTATATATATATACACACGTGTTTTTTAGTGTGAACTTTACAACTTACAGCGCTTCAAGATTCATAGGCGTCCCCGCGTAGCTGGTTCGTGCGTGTGGCTGTAACCTATGGACTATAGAACTTTCGACACTTTCGGCGAAAGCACCTTGTAGATGCATGTATGTGTATATACATGTACACACGTGCATTTTAATGTGAACTTTGCAACTTCCAGCGCTTCAAGATTAATAGGCAAACCCGCGTAGCTGGTTCGTGTGTGGCTTTAACCTATGGAACCTTAGACACTTTCGGCGAAAGCACCGTGTAGATGCCCTGTAAGTACTTTACCCTTCATCAGTTTTTCCAGACTCTGGGCGAAGGGTCATCCTACTAAGGTTGAAATTCTTAGTTTCCATTTTCTTTTCCATTATCCCTATATATGGCCCTTTATATCCCTATATAAACCCTAAACTCCAATGTTTGGGTTTGCTAGTAGGGACTGGAGGAAGCGCATGTAAGTTTGTACGACGCAGCTTCCTGGAGTGGTGCCATCAGTGCTGGGCAATGTAAAGCGAGCTCACCCTACCTCACCCTAAATACTTAATGGGGGTTAGTAAGAAATGTCGGAATATATTGGGATTTTATAGGGATAATGGAAAAGGATATGGAAACTACTACATTATAATAGGGTATATATTGAGGGATATACAGGGAAAAGTACCAACATGGCTTTAACTTGGGAATTGAAATTAGTCTCCTAAGTGTAGGTTACCCCCCACTCCTTGCTGCTCCATCGCCGGGTAAGACTTGAATAGGGTTTGACTTCGGGTAACTTGGTCTTCATCTACTCCATCGTGAAGGGCTTGTTTGAAAGTTTCACGCCGCATTTTACAGATGGGAGCTTTTGGGAAATCTTTCCTCGCAGCCCAGAAAAAACTCCCTGCAGGGCCCGCAATTTTCTCATGCAAACCTCGTACTTGTAGAGTCCTTCTATAACTCTTCATAAGACCCATAACTTACACCCAGGTAGCCCCAAAGCCCCCAGAATCCTAAGCCATCATGGGATCCTATACTACACCCCCACTCACTACCCCTCCCCCCAAGATATTGCCCTCATGAGTCTTAAGTAGGCCTTATTTGGGGTTGATTTTGGGAAGGGGGAGCGGGGGGGGGGGGTTAGAGTTTAGGGTTTAGGGTTTTCGGTTTAGGGTTTTCCAGGCGGACTCAGAAAGCCTGTTGCAAAAGGGTTTAGGGTTTAGGGTCGCATAAAACCAGGTAATCCGGTTGTCCCTTCTTAGCCGCTGCCTTTGCGACAGGACCGGGGCCTCGGCCTTCATGAGTTGCTTGGTTGGTAGTATTCGGTTGGTTGAGGGCTTAGGGAAGAAGAGGGAAGCCCTAGGATTTAGGGCTGGGGGTTTAGGGCTCCCTAGTGTAGTTCCTGTATAGACCCAATCATGTAGTAGGTTCCATTTGCTTTTCCATTCCTTCATCCGCCATCATAGCCAGCAAAAGACCCAAAACCCTATATGTGCCTACAACCCTGAGTTCCTATTGCATTTTCCATTATTACCCCAATCCCTGCACCTTGTATACCCCCATGCATCCCTCTGGAACCCCAGATAGCGCCTGTATAACACCCATAGAATCTGTATATAATCCATATATGATAGTTTCCCAAAATAAGGGTACCCCAATGTAGACCCCAAAATACTATTATCCTTATATAGGGACCCCCAAAAGGGGTACCCCTAATTATGGGAAACCCCCATATGTCCCGCACACTAACAACCAGCGAGGTTGACAGTTCTGGCCGCCACCTTGGAGCATTTGATTCACGACGAGGCTGTGAATCGCCTCTCTGTCGCTTGGCCTCTTTTCGTTCTCTATAAGCGAGGGGATGCTGGTTGCTCCAACCCCTCAAATTAGGACCTTGTCATAGCCATACGATATCATATGATAGTTATAGGCTAGTTATAGGGTCCTTATAATAGGGTTGGCATCGCAAAATCTCCCGTTTCTAGTCTTGGGATAGTATTACCGATCAGCTTCAAGATATTTTCTGGGTTTATTGGAGCGAAGACTGAATTTCCTCTTTGTTGGGATAGGATTGAGGATTGCAATGTCATATTCTCCATTGAGTTTCAGTAGACGAACTCCCAAAGCTGCGCAATCGGGCTACGACTGAAGACTATAGCTTTGCATTTTTTCTGGTTTTTAGCCGAACACCGTTTGATACTGTTTTTCAACCATGGCCCAGCTGGGAATTCTTGATCTGTGTGCTGTAGAAGCCTGAACCCAAGCGCTATTCTAATATTTGAGGCCCAGCAAAGTACGATGCCCCCAAACTCTAAATATATATATATATACACATATTTCTCTTCGTATGTTTTGCTTCTTCTTGGTGATGGTTGTTGCTGTCTGCTGGCCTGGGAATGCCTAGGAGCCCAAAGCCCACCGTCAAGTTGAGTAGAGCATCGGCAAGAAGGGTCATGCTGTGCCAGGGGTCGGGGCCGCTGAGGTTGTGTACGAGGCCCACAATATCTCCATGGAAGCTCGAGTGCGAGAAAGCGTGCTGCAGGAGCTGATTGACACCTACATGAGCCTAGGTGCAAACTGGGAAGCATTTTGTCAAGACTTCTGGCAGCTGCAGATTCTGCAGATCGAAATTGACAGAGCTCCAAGGATCCCACATTTCAGCCGCCAGTCCCGCCTGACGATTTGCAAAAAGCGGGGTTCCGTTTGAAGTCCACATGACTAGCACCCTGCTTTGGGGGCATTTAGCCGGCCCGTTCTTGAAAATTGTCAGATGATTTCTGGGCTGTTGTTGAGAATTCTGTCATTGGTAGTTTAACGGCCCTCAGCACTATCTTGACAGACTACCCTAGGAAGTCTACGTTTGTGATATTTGTACAATAAGTTGGAAGCTTAAAAACCATGATTCCCCATATAAAGTCACATCCGATTTTGGGCACATGGTTCCTCCCCTGTGGCCCTACGCAAACGGGCCTAATAGTCCAACAAGTGTATTGGTCTGAGGACTCTGTTCCTCGTCGGCAACCAGAACTTCAACGCCACCAGCATCTCGAGGGAGCGGGACATCATTGCGGACAGCTACCCGGGCTGGCAAGAGACCCGCGAATTCACCCTGCAGGTGGCCACGGGCTTCGTGCATGACCTGGGTTATCAAGGGGCCATAGAGGGGAGTAGACAGGGGTGTTACAGGATGCTTATATATATGTATATATATATATATGAGGCTACGTGTGTCTGTCAATGCGTTGTATGTTCCATAGCTCATATCATATCCAGCTGAAACACTACCTAGGCAACTGTTTTCGGCGTGGCCGATTCTCGCTGAAATTCGTGCAACTCAGAGTCACGTTGCATCCATTAAAAGCTCTAAGGAACCACGGGCGGGGTTTGTACCTGTAGGATTGAATATACTTCTGTAGCAGTTCCTTGCATCACACACTGAAAAGTAGCACTTATCCTTGCAACCCCCACTTGTTATACATAACTGAACCCTTTCAAATTTGGCGAAGCCCATAGGTGCGCTCGAGCGTCCTCGCTTCGAAGGGTTCAGATGTCAACTTCTCCCCAGACAACTTCTCCTTCAGGGCGGCCACGGAAACTTCAGCAGCAGAAGGTTTTTGGGGTTAGGAAATCTTAGATCTTCAGGGTTGTAGATGGGCAATTGATTTGTAGAGACTTCGCCATGTCTTGTGCTATATGACAAGTTGGGGCTTGCAGCTTTCACTGCAAATTGCTTGTTGGCCTGTGGACGATCCCACTTCGCGAAAAGGATACCTCCAGTATAGTGCTCTGACATATTGGGGGAAACGTTCATTATTGGGGGGTTGGGGCCTACCTTAGACCTTAAATGCCGAATAATGTTGCGTCTCTAGTTGTCCGTTCCCTTAGGGTGTATTGTCACGGGGACGTGATAATATCAACCTCTACCGCACTGGCATAGAGGTACTTTTTCTCTTGTTCTTCTGGGCAGACAGGTCCGCACTTATGGCCTGGCCCATACCTTACCCTAAGGGTCCATGTGCCCAATAATTCGGTACTTGGGAGTTTGGTATTACTCATTGCAGTACAAGTTTGGGGAAAGTACATGATTATTAGATACTCAGACCCTAAGGGTTAGATTGACTGGGCATGAGCCATCAACCTAGACCCTCCTCCTACACTCTATTGGGGCCTAAGTACCCACTAGAAGGGACCATATATCCCCAATTAAGGGTACAAGGAGGGTCCTGGAAAGCAGTAGTCTACATGTAGAATCTGAGCTCCCATTGCAAGCCAGCAGAACAATGGCCGAGCATATCCGGTCATCTCAACTCATGTCCAGTGCCTTTTTCTCTTTGGTAGTGTTTAGGGTTTAGGGTTCTGGTAGTTTCCCAAAACAGAGGGACCCCAATATAGACCCAAAAATATTTGAATCCTTATTATTGGGACCCCCAAGAGGTAGCCCTCATTTTGGGAACCCCCCTTTTATTCTTGTGAGTCTGAAGCCCCAAATTCCCCTGAACATGAGGAGATTGTGGAGGAGATCGGGGAACGATACGGTCGCTGGCAGGATTCCGAGTGTCGGGATTTGACGCTGGGCCAGGCATTGGCGGCTTAACGGTTTGAATGCTGTGTTTTAGGCCTACCCCAATGCCACTGCTCCGTTTAGGTTTGTAGTGTTGCGTCATGTTGACGGCTGTACCAACAACAGATGCTGCAGTCCCGAGATTACTTGACCTTGCATTAGCCATAGCATCATGATTCATGACAGAACCTTCGCGATGCCGAACCCCGGCAGAGACTCTAAAGCCTTCAACCAGAAAAGCATAGATTCAGGAAAAGCTCCCTCATCAAGCATGAGCACGCTGGAACGGGGCGCGTCCTGCTGAAAGACTTCTACTCCGCAGCACTCGGTGGGGCTTTCAAGCTGAGGGAGATATGAGCCATAGTCTTAACTCCTCAAAGGGAGGTTGTATGGGGGATTTATAGGGGACTACTGGAGGGGTTTCAAGGGCTACTAGAAGTTTAGATTATGGTTCACATGGGAATTACCCAGCTATACTTGCATTTGTAACCCGACTATAAGCCCGGTAAGTCTCCTAATTAATGACGCCATAGCTGGGTTAGAAGTGCCAGTTGTAATTGGGTACCAAGTAGCTTTTGAGGTTGAAAGAACCAGGGGAATCTATGGAAACGATGGAAGACAGCAGGGGGAGGTTCACGGAACACGCCCCTCATAGAGTGCCGCACGTGACGGTTGTATTTTCCAAGTCCATATCTGAGGTTTACAAAGAGATGCTAAATGGTTTCATGTGCAAAAGTGTGCCAGGTTGTTTCGAAGTCTTCTTGTTCTTGGTGTTCAGCAAGTTCACTAAATATAACTGGCGTTGTAACAGGTCAGTGCACGACGCGACTTTGAGGGCACAGGTGCTGAAATCGCCAGTACCCTTGAGGTATGACCGATAAGAGTGCAGCACTTAGAGCAATGGGTTCCGAAATCTGTCCCGAATTGGCCAGGTGGTCAGTGGCAGTTCTCCGAGAGCATCGACTACCTGCGCGAATCTTGCACCACAAGTAGGAATGCCTGCATTTTCCCGCTTCTGATTGCAGTGGTGCAGCAAGAGGATATAAACGAACCCAGTCTTCCAACCCTCAACTTGAACCCGCAATAGGGGATGTCCGCATTTCTCCCTTTATGAGTATCCTTCATATTCGTATCTGGCATCCTTGTTACAGTGACCTTCTCAAAAGGCATCCATACTGTAAAGCCACCGTTTCCAGCTCGCATGCGGTAGAAGTCAGGAATTGGGAGCGCTGGACGAGGCCGACCCTGACCACCTGGCTGTGTTCATTCCCAACTACGCCTCTTGGTCATTGTGTAACGCTTTTCAAGTTTCAGGGTTAAGGATTTAGGGTTTATCCGGGCGTGGACCTCAGCAAGCCTGCAGCAAAAAGGGTTAAGGGTTTAGGGGGTCATTGCTCTTACCGTTGGTTAGCTAGGAATGAAGGAATGGATCCTTGTAGTGGTCCCGATATAACCCATTATAGTAGTTTCCATGGTCTTTTCCATTCCTCCTTTCCCAACTACGTGTCTAGGTCATTGTTGTGTAAGACTTTTCAGGATGACCATGTAAGCTCCAATTTCCAAAGGATGCTGAGTTTTGGGAGTTTGCAAGAATCAGAGCCGCGTCATAGTGCAGCAGGCATGAAGGACAGCTCCATTTTGGAAGGCTTTTTTTGGTCCTTTTTGCAAACCGGCAAGGGACCTGGACCCTTCCACCCTAAGGTCAACTCGCAATCCAACTGCGTGGCTTCTTCCAGCATCTACTCAGTGTGCTGCATCAATGAGTGCGAAGCCCTTCTGGGGCATGTTGAGGCCAAGGGGACTTGCAGGTTCCAACTACGTTAAAGATTGTGAAGTGAAATGATCCATAGACTGGTCCGATTGGTCCTTTCTAAGGCAAGCTCAGAACGTTTTACGCATTGAGTTCCCCCAATGAGAATTGCACTTCCTCTCCAAGCCCGGGCAGTACACTTTCCTCATGATAACCCAAACCGTATTCTACTTATTTACGCCCCTACATGAAGCCTGTACATCCCTTGTTGCCCCCTTACATCCCCACTGACCCCTCTAAAGGGACCAGTTAATTGCATCCCCAAGCATTCGCTGAAACCACTATAGATTACCCCAATAATGGAGAATCAAATGGAAAAGACAATGGAAAATGAAATGGAAACTGGGATTATATAGGGTTTTATTGGGGTAATATTGGGATAATGGAAAATCAAAACCCTAAACCCTAAACCCTAACCCCTTGAGGCGCAGGTGGCTGCACCCGAGGCTTCGCCTGAGCAGCTCCTGCAGATCCTCCTTGGCAAGTAGCATCTCTCTGGGGGGTTAGGGTTTAGGGTTTGGGGTTTGGGGTTTAGGGTTTAGGGATTTAAGGTTTGGGGTTTAGGGTTATAAGGTTGCATGGGGATATCCGGGCTTTAGGATTTACAAAAACTTGTGCCTGGGTGGGAAATTGTAACGACCTCACCCGACCCCAAGCGGTGGTTCATAGACAAAGCGCCAAAGTGGCTACATTTCGGTATCTGGAAATAATGTGTGCAGACAGTCGCTGGGTAGCACTTTACACCTTTCGGGTTCCTATCATTTTATTGACCAGAAGGTATAGAATAGCATGTTCGGCCTCGGGAACTCAGCGACTGGGCTTAAAGACTACCGAATATTCATTTTACTGACTCATAGGCTGAAAAGTTTGGCGATTAAGCAAGTATACGGTGGTCATTTGAGATGTCTAGATTTCTTTGTTTTCCAGGCTGCTAAGAGGTGCGCTTGCAGGCGTGTAGGTATGGCGGGCGTCATGACATATGTGCCTCATCTTTCTGCTGAGTTGCGCCATGGCTTCTGGGTGGCTGTTACGGAACTCAAAATAAGAGACCGTAACAAGGATGAATAGTAAATGATAGGTTTCCTTGTTATTGTAACTAAGCTTAAGTTCCTTGACAACAACCCGGGCTTGTTTTAGTTGGTGCCGGCTGTTGAAATGCATGCCATAAGTTGGGCACATAGTTCATCCCAAGGTTCTCTTATATATGGTTACGCTCGAACACCTTCAACTTCAGGTGATCCCTTTGTAGCACTGGTGTGAGTTTACTGCGATGTATCCGAATCCCTCATGTACATTTTGGTCAGTCGGGCTTCTGCTTTGCAACGTGGTCAGGTCCCGCAAAGGGAAAAGCACCTATTGGGGGTAACACTGAGCAGTGACTTGAAACTCCGTCCTATGTCCTGAAGTCTCCATAGTCCTCCTGGCATTTGGAACATCCCATCACCCCCAGATCCCCTATAACACCAGTGTTAACCCGCCGTATAAGCTCCAACCTCAAGCGCAATTCCTCACGGTCTCACTCGAAGAGAACGATTTTGCAGACAGTGGCCGCAAAGGGGCCACTTGTCATGTTATGAAGAATTATCCCTCTGCACTTTGGATCTTCTCATTTCAAACCCTGGAGCACTCACCCCACCTTCATATGAGCCATAGTCTGAACTCCTGAAAAGGGGGGGATAAATACATGCATATATATATATATCGGGATTATAGCGGGGGCCCTACAAGGTTTATTAAGGAGGTGCTAGGAGTTTAGACACTTAATCATATGTCCCTAAAGTCCAGGTTGGAACTCCTAAGCCCAACGTATCCCTATATCCCGACAGACCCTTGATATCCCTCAACCATTAAACCTGACCAAAAGCTTACGTCACCCCATAAACCAAGAAACCCTAAAGCCTATAAACCCTATAAACCCTAAAGCCTAAACCCTATAAACCCATATCATCCCCATAAGCCCCTAAAGCCTAAACCTTTTAAACCCTAAA